AATAATAAATGAATGCGTTATCTTTGTTGTTGCGAAGCTAAGTTTCTCTAGATTGGCAACAAACCCACTAGTCTCCTGTTTCAAATGTAAACATCAATGGTCACTTATTAAAAAAAAGGCTTAGCGGCACTTAGAGAACTTTAAAAATGTTGATAATTCTAAAAATATTGCATACAGATTTACTAAAGGCATAAAAACCTTAACCGGAAGATAAAAACAACATAATACAATCATTTTTAAAGCAAAAAATGTACAATTTACAAACATATAAGAGTAAAGAAACTGAGATTACTGAGCCGGGTAACAGAGTGGATATTATATAAATATATTTATATACGTTTGGTGCAGCCGATTGCAACCAAAATACGAGGGGCACATCTACATGTTATAGCAGTCCTATATACAAAATTTCAACGTTCTGAGGCTACTCGTTTTCGAGTTATGCGAGATACGTACGTACAGACGCCACGAAAAATTCTCTTCAGAATTAATTTTAAAGCAGTTTTATAATTTTTTTGAAGGAAAATAGTCTTTTATTCTGTCCTTACGTACAGATATCAGGGCAAAAACATCGTTAAATTGCATTCGATAGCGGTCAAAATGGATATTTTCGTTGAAATATGCTGCCTGAAACTTTTCGCGATTACTATACTTCCTTTTTACTTTGTACAAGGAAGTGCAAACAGTGATCAGTCAATAATATATTGCCCGTTTTGTTTGATAGCTTTTTGCTTTCTTTTAACGTGCTTTGTAATTTCTGATTCACAAAAGAACCTAAGTTTATCGATAATAAGTTGAGCAATTGTGTGTGTATTGTTTCTAAGCTCCTACCAACGAGCCAACAAATCAGTTCGAACGTGCGCTGTTGTCAATCGCACAGTTTGAACGAATCCATCTTCCAGAAACTTCCAGAGATCATTAATCGTATAGGAACTGCATTTTTACCCATCATGCGAAAACACACACGTTTCATCACCTGGATAAATATATAGATGAATTCTTATATATAGATTTTGTAAAACTTACAAATTTTTGATTAACAAACTCTGCGATTTGAAAGCGAGCAGTGGCAACACTTTCCGAAATAAAGCACTTTTATCTCCAACACGCGAGACTGTTGCCACTCAGAAAAATGAGTGTGAAAACTAGTTTTTAATTAATATCTGGGCTGATTAAAGTCTTACAGAGTTGGGAATAGTAGAAATGGCTTCCCACGAATTTTTAGAATCGGGAATAATGTATTCAATGTTTGGCAATGCTATTTTTATTTCATTGTAAAATTTAGAAATTTCTTATTCAAATTCTACAATTTGGAAGCGAGTAGTGGCAGCACTTTTTGAAATAAAACAGATTTTTATCTCCAACGTACGAAACTGTTGCCACTTGGAAAAATAAAGATTAAAATTAGCGTTTTCTGCATTTTTAATTAATATCTCTGATTTTTAGCTTCTTTTTTTTTTTTTTTTTTTTTTTTTTTTTTTTTTTTTGAAAAATGTGCATGGCGAACTTTTCGAGGACCCACAAAAGGACTGTAGAAAGTTTGGTGACGATAGCTGTACTAGTGATTGAGTTAATCGCGAACAAACACGCAGACATTCTTTTTTATATATACAGATAAGCGTATTTGAAAATATAAAATCATAAATTGTTGTCAATTATTGCATTTTAAATCATAATCCGAACGATTTTATATGTTAGTATTAATTTAATCGTGGTCTGTTAAATCACAAACACGATCGGCGGGCTTCGCGTGCTGCAGTTTATACATATGACATCACCAAAAACATGAACAAATAAGTTCTAGCGATATATATTCAATTAACCGGAAAAATAAGATATCGACGAGGTCCCGTTGCTGCCGGTTAAAAGAGATTCTATTGCATTAGGTAATCTGAAAAGTTCTGCGGCATTTCAATTAAACGCGCATTTTCAGTTTAATATTTTGTTACTCCTAATAAGAGGTTTCAAGCCAAAAAAAAAAAAAAAAAAAAAAAAAAAAAAAAAAGAAAAAGAAAAAAAAAAAAAGAAAAAAAAAAAAGAAAAATCTGAAAGGTTTCAGATTTGAAATTACGTCCAAGGGGGCGTTTTTTTAAACATTTTGTCCGTTACCTTTATTTATTAAATATCACATTCTTCGCATTTAAACCGTAGAATTACGTTCAAGAGCAATATCGCAAAATTGTTTTAAATTGAGCATATCTTTAGAATTTCCGATACAGAGTCTCGCGCGCTGTAGATAAAAATGTTTTTTTATGTACAAAGTTTCTATTGATCGCTTTAAAATCCTTGAGTTTGCTCATAAAAAATTCGTTAAAGTTTTACAAAATATGAAATCGATAATAAAACAAATTCCAAATTTCAAATTTGGGCTACCACATGACCACATTCGCAGTAGGATCACGTCATTCAAAATTCGATGGGTCTACGTACTGTTGTTTTATCACAATGCGAAACATACATACATTTATGCAGATTCTTCATTATTCGATTTCTTCAAATATAACACAGGGCGATAATATTTGGTGGCAACGGCTTGAAAAGTGATACGGCTTTTTAAAAATTTCAACCCAAAATGCCAACACGAAAACAATAGTCCCTCAGGGACAAAGCCCCTTTGGACTAAAAAAATAGTTTTCCTTTCTTTTATTCAGTCATACTTATGCGCATCATAACATTATTTTGGTTTCAGTTCAATAGTAAAAATGTACAATCAGAAATTTAAGTTCCTTCATATTATATATATGACTAGCGGGCTGCGGCCAAAGCAAAATTTACAAGTTCTATGTATACTGAAAAGAAAATGCATAAAACATTTCAGTATGAATGAAAACAGTTCAATTTTTCAAGCAACAGTAATTTCGTACATAATTTTGTTGTTGCCAAACCAGGAAATAAAAACTTTTGACACTTTCGGTTAATGCGTATGACGTCATGATTTAAATTTAATGTAATATAACAACTTTTTTCAGTAGCGATAAAAGAACTAACGTTGCAGAAACATATCTTGTCAATTATTCTAACCTGAAACTAAAATGTTGCCAGCAACAGCTATTGATTTAAAATGCTGACATTAACGAAACATTTTCCGCCTAGAATAAAGTCACATCCAATCGCGTGCTGTCATCAACGTCAGAATATGACCTTATATAATAATAATATATTTTATGTTTAGCAATGTTAATTTTATTTTATATTTTGTAAAACTTACAATTTTATTATTAACAAACTGTACGATTTGAAAGCTAGGAATGGCAACACTTTTCGAAATAAACAGATCTTTATCTCCAGGGTGCGAGAGTGTTGCCATTCGGAAAAATGAGTGCGAAAATTAGCGTTTTCAGAATTTTTAATTAATATCGCGGCTGATTAAAGTCGTATGCAGATAAGAATAGGCGAAATAGCTTCCCATGAATTTTTGAAATCTGGAAAAATATATTTAATGTTTGGCAATACTATTTTTATTTCACACTTTGTAAAACTTACAAATCTTTTATTAGCAAACTCTACGATTAGAAAGGGAACAGTGGCAACGCTTTTCGAAATAAAGTAAATATTTAACTCTAAAACGTGAGACTGTTGCCATTCGGAAAAATAAGGACGAAAATTAGCGTTTTCAGAGTTTTAAATTAATATATCGGCTGAATAAAGTCGTACGAAGATGAAAATGGTCGAAATGGCTTCCCACGAATTTTTGGAATCCACTCTTTTGAAACTCAATTCCCCGCCGTTTCGGAGGAGATGATGTCACAACATTAACAGACAGACGCTCACAGATTTCAATGGTATAGGTTTTAGGAAAAGTGTTAGTAAATGAGTTCATAAAATTTCTTCAGTGTACGGAAAAAATGCCATTTCTGATTACGGACTTTGGAACAAGTTTAATAAAGTTTAATGCGGATGATTAAAACTCAGAGATGACGACAGATCTTGATGTTTTTCGTATTTAAACGATAATGTGTTTCTGATGAAAACCACTAGAACACATGTCAAGAAAGCAAGACAGACTAAATATTCCGAACCGCAATGTATGCGATCTGCGATCTTTTAAAGAGCCATGGCTATGTGAATTGCTACGATGTGTACCTGCACTTTGATAGAGCAAAATGAGCTTACTCGAATTTAGGCTTCCAGTTATCTCTTAAAATAGAATAAAGAACCATTTTGCTTAAAATGAATAAGTAGGGACCTTTAACAGCAGTGCTATGAGGAAGAGCAATGGGAAAATTCAAACTGATTGGATTTAATCAAAGAAAGAATGCTGTAGTGTAGTGACATTATGAAGAAATTATTTTAATAATTTATTACACATTGTTATGACCTATTCAGACTATCAACGGGGGGAAAAACAGAGTATTAACTGCAGAAAATGATTGACTGCAGTTATGCTGCATATAACACACAATTTCTTGCACGAGAAATGAATGGGTACCATGATGCTCGGGTATATTTCATTCAAGAAGCTGGTATTACTAAGAAATAACTCACCGAATAAATAAGAACAGCATGTTTACAGCGCACAGTTACCTCTTCCGCTAAGGTTGTAGAGACATTAGGTATTTTTGGAAGCAGGCAAGATAAAAAATTAGCAACGCCTTCGCCGGGAATCGAACCGCGGATCTCTCAATTACGCGCTGAGCGTGCAGATCACTATACCAAGAAGGCTCGTTAAGAAGGCGGGAGAAATACCTTATAAGGTTTACATACAACGAATATACAGTTTATTGAAGACTGCAAGTCAATCAACATGTCGCACACATTCATCTAAAGTTATTTAATAGCTTCTTCAAAAGTATGTACCAAGTTGCCTTACTTTTTATATTATTCAAATCAGAGGGAAAAAGTTAAAAATATGTCACTATATTCAATACAAGCGTAAATTGACTTAGCCTGGAATGAAGATCCGGATAATTGGATTTACGATATCGGGAATTCGGTTACTTGGAGTTTTGCTGTACATTTATAGTAACTCCATTTACATTGCAAGTAGTATTTATACTCACCATAGCTAGTTCTTCCCCAGCCAGTGACGGTAGCCATCTTGCCCGTAAAGTTTTCCAGCTTCTCAGGCAAGCAGATAGGAACAATGTGCTTTCTGTACACAACAGGATGCGACAACTCCAGCAAGGCTATATCGTGCCTGTACGTTGCTGGCTCGTAGTCTTCATTCACAACTTTACGTTTGACGCTGTATTCCTCATGTGGAAAGGCTTCAGTGTTTTCCCGAATGTTGTATTCCCCGACACGAACTCGCAACGTTGTTGCTGGGGTCCTAGTAAAAGTGTAAGGATTTTAAAGACATCCAGTATATGCACATTCACTTATATATATTCAAGGTAAGAAGAGAAATAATTGTTTATCTAAGTAAAAATAAGAGGGAGTACAAATAATAGGAAATCAAATAATATTTTAGTATGGGTATGAGTCTAAGATGATATCTTTTTCTTAAAATTCTCATCTTATACGAAACAATAAAGTTTTTTCTTCTACAGCAAAAGAATTCTGTAGAAATTGTCAGACACAATGAACGGTTGCTGGTTTTATGTTTGTGATAATTGCAACTGAAGAAAGCAAAACTCATTGTTCCGGAATTCCTGGGAGGGGGAGGGGAAACACACTTGTATTTCTTTACATCCTATTTATTTGCATGGACATGACTTCGCGTAATTATTCCCTGTTTTCTGAAATTAAAACTCCCATTTTATACAAATCTATGTTATTTCTATGTGCCAAATTATTAAAATAATTAAAATAAGAGAGGACGCTTGGCTGTATTATACATCCTAACTACTAAATATCTTATGCTTTCTAACTACTAACCACATTATACTTTCTAACTACTAACTACAGTTAAACACAGCTCAGATTTAATACTTAAACTAAGGCCTATTTATTAACAGGTTAACCTGATGGTTACATAAAAAGTGAAAAATAAATAAATAAATAAATAAAAATAATAAAAAAAAATTTCTGCAGCTTGCGGAAAAACCTAGAAAAAATGCTCAAAATCAAATTTAATTGAGAAATACAAATTAACACGCACCTAAAAAAGCCTTGGCTAGTGCCTTTATTATTTGCGAAGCCAATTCGGTTGGCCTAATTTAAAGCCGATAAACCAATTCAAGTAGCGCGCGAAGCGTACGCAAAGTAATGGCCAGGAAGGCTGACAAAAACTCTCTTCAAACTCAAAAGAACTCTCCACCTACATAGTTCAGCTAACTTGCATTCTGGTGGGAGTTGACTAAAGCAGAAATGAAAGTAAAGATAAAATAATAAAATAATTGGATTAATTAAATAATTGCATTATTTAAAATAATTGGATTAATTGGTCGTAACAGCTATTTTGATTGTATTTCCAATCACCAGCAAACTGCCAAAGGGTTTTGAAACAGCATTTTTTAATTAGGGGCTAAAGACCCTGCCATGCACTTCGTCATCACACACAGCAATGTATTAATTCCTGTAAAAGTTGCATCGAATCAATCAAGGTTGATAACTTAATACATTAATTTATTATTTTTATTTGGCATCAGTTTTGCATTAAAGGAATATGGATCTATTTTTCTAAGATTTATATAATAACCAACATGTTATATTTCATGTTAGATTTGTTCTCTACTTACATTTCTTACATCAACTCCACCATATATGAAAATTAGATTTTAAATCCCAAGAAGAAATTTAAATTAGGAGAAGACAGTTGAGAACAAAGCCAGTGAGGCTGTATTGGTCGTAATCCTTCTGACTGGGTAGCCATGATAGATTTGGTGAATTCTGGCTTCTGCTAGTATTTACGTTTAGACGCCGAGCTAAGTTAGGAATCGGGTTTCTAAAATTTCAGTTTTCTGTTTGACTTCTGTGCGTATTTTGCTGTATTGCAAGGATATCGCCAAGAATGGTAATTGAATTTTTGTTTAACTAACTGCAAGCTAGAAGTGCAAGCAAATTTCCAGTTCGATTATGGGCTTGTTGTATTTAAACAATGTTCTTGGATTTTAGATTAAAGGTGAAAGATAATTCTTCAGTCTATTCTTGTTGCTGATTTCACTTGTCTGATGTAATCAGAACAAGCCCACGAATTATTATTGTGGCAAGGAGTATAAGATTGCGGCTTTCGTTGACCAAAGCCTGGAGCACAGACAGGTGACAGTCGGACTTTATGCTTAGTTTCGTCCCAAATCTGGAGGACAGCACGTCCGGAACTAATCCGAGGGTCTCCCATCCCTCTTCTCCTACCACCAAGCTCTCGAAAGGACTTTCGGCTGGGCGCATATTTTGAGTGCCCCCATGCCGCACAGCCACTATACATTTACACATATCCATGCCTTCTCCAGGTTTCGAGCCAGGGCATTCGGTACGATAGTCAGCATCGCTAAGCGCTTTCCTAACTGGAGTGGGGGCTTTCTTCTACTATTTAAAGAGGTTATCCCCACTAAAGTTGTAAGATATGTTTTAATTTTATAACAGTTATTTTAATTTTGAAACCCATTCCTTTCTTTCTTGTTTCCACTTACAACTCTCTACCAGAATGAGTTTTTGAATGCAAATGAGTTAGAAGAAGGTTCAGCATTTAAGGAAGGTTCAGCATACTTCGATAGAGAATGCTAGGAGTCCTTAGTGGCGAGTGTTTGACTTCGGGCTGAGTCACTCTTGAGGCTGTTATGCTCGGCCGTATATATGTGCCTATTGATATTCGTCGGCTAGTTTAATTTAAGGGCCAACTACGTTAGATAATTGTGTCTAGCTTCGGCTAAGTCTCGTTCACTTAATCATAGTTTAGTTTCTTATTTCTTATTCTGAGCTAGAGCCCGAACAGAGGCTTTCCTGTAAGCTCGAAAAGGAGCCAACTGTTAATATTATTGGAGTGAATAAAAGGGTATTTTAACCCTTCTTGAGTCTACGTATTAGTTGTTTGAACTCAACGATAAGTTGCTATAAGTTGCACTAGGTTCTTTGACGTTTATCTTAGAGAAAGGGCGAGGTACCCTACAAAGTTACGGGTTTAACTTTACGTCATTTATATATGTTACCGTGAAAGACCGAATTTGGAGAATGTCGACTTTCACCGGAGAATGTCAACATTCACCAAATACGTCGGTGAAAGATCGAATATTGCATTGCATTCTTGTATATTCGGGCCCTCACCGGTGTATGTCGACAATCACAGATATGCTCTGGTGTAGGTCGAAAAGAGAGGAGTATTACACGCTGCCATTCCAAAAGGAAGCGTTCCACAAATAAATGCAGTTGTAAAAGCAAGGACCTCTTGTGCAATTCAAAGTGCCATAATAGTTTAAGTTGTTGCAATAAATAAGATTTGAATCACATAATTTGGTAAGTTTATAACTTTATTTTCCTTTCTCATTTTGAATATACTGCGAGTTTTAAGTTCTTATATTCTTAAGTTCTTATTCTGAGTTTCAAGTGCGTTTTTTCGCGAATGAATTATGGAGAAGGAAATATAATATTCTTATATGTTCAACATTCACCATTAGTAAATGGTGAATGTCGACATTCACCGGTGTAAGTCAGAAAAAAGAGTATTTGGAAAATATTTCGGACATACACCAGACTATGTGAATGTTGACATTCACCGGTGAAAGTCGATATTCTCCAGATTTCGGTGTTTCACCGTAACATATACACATAGTAATAATATTAAAAAACTAGTTACTGCATTTGTACGGAACTGATATCTAACATTTACATGGACGTAGTTATCATCATGATGATAAAGGCGATTGTGAATAAAAGTCAATACATTTAGACTTTCTTTTATAATAATAATTAATAAAATCATTTAAATATATTTATTTCGAGATACTTTGTTAGAGACAGCAGTCCATTAAATGATAATATTACATCGCTGTGTTATGTTAGGCTAATGATATGATAATGTTACATCGACCACTTGAATAGCACTGCAAAAAAAGCAACTTCTTTATACCTTGTCTTCACAAGCACAGGGATTGAAAAAGAAAGGGGGAAGGGATAGCCCCAGGTAATACACATATATGATGTAATTTCATGCACGATTAACTTTGTAAAAATGTTTCCACTCATTGACAAAAGAGTTGAACAACAAAACATTAAATCTGGCTGCGAACAGGTACGGTGGCGTGAGTGTGAGAATAGCTATTTACTACCTCACGGAAAGTGACATGACCACTAATTCCTGCGTGACCACTTCCTTTCCTCCCGAACACTTGACCCCTAGATAAACACGGCGATCGTATGCACCCTCCGTGATAATGCGCGCAAACTCGTTTAGTTTTTATTGTACGGTGTGGTGGTGTGGTATATTTATTTATGGCAAAGCACACTAGGGCTATCTGCCTAGTTTTTATTGTACGTAAAATATTCCAGAAACCTTACTAACTTGTAAACACAGTGAGCTGCAGTGATGACCCATTTCTCATGGATGAGTGCGCCACCACAGGCTATCTTCTGCGACATCAGCGCCCTCTTGATTACGCCAACCTGCATCAAAGAAAAAGAAAGACTGAGTTGGTTAAAAAAAGAAGCTATTAAAGAAAGCCTTGAAATTTTGCTCCGTAAATTATGTTGCACAATGGGCAAATTATCTAAGAATGCAGTTGAAAACAATTATACGCAGCAAGTTTGCAAAATAGAAAAAATAAACAGCGATTTCAAGGCCTTCAGAAAATAAATAAAAGGTATCAGTTTACAGTATCGAATAATCATTATCGTTTTTCCTGTTTTACGTATCTAGCAGGGCACAAGTCACTAACCTTACCATATTTCCTGTGACTTTAGATAGGTTACATATTCTTACTAGCTTGTAAACAAATGACTGAAATTTATTAGCCCAGAAGGGGGTTAGTTCAGAAGAGCTATTGGTCTCAAAACGGCGTTTTGCGTGGAATCACTTTAAAAGTCCGAATTACTTTTCAAATTGTTGCCACCAAATATTATCAAACTGTATTATATTTAAAGAAATTAAATAATGAAACATCTGCATGAATGTATTAAAGTTTCTCTTACTGCAAAAAAAAAAAAAAAAAAAAAAAAAAACGGCGCTTAGAGTAACTAACCAAATTTTGAATAACATAGTCTTCCACCAGAGTATGGCCACCTGGATGCCCGACTTTGAAATTTCGAATTTTTTTTTATTATCTGTTTCATATTTTGTAAAACTTCAACGAGTTTTTGATTAAAAAAATGATCAATTTTAAAGCGAGCAGCTGTAACGCTGTAGGGGGGGATTTTTTTTATCTCCAGCCGCGAGACTGGAAATACTTAAGATATGGCGTTTTTAAATACTGGTAGCACAATATGGCTTTAGCTCAAATGCTCTGGAAACGTATATTTGTCTGTAAATGGGGCAGGGGAGGAAAAAGCCGTTTGGGCGTAATATAAAATCTGAAAGCTTTCAGAATTTGTTTTTTAAATTCTCATTTAAATTATTTTACGTAGTTGTAAAATTCTACATCTTTAACTACGCAAACATATAAATCTATTCATTTTTCAATATTTGCCATTACTTATTTAAAAACGTTGTTTCGGGAAAAACATATAATCTTTTTTACAATTCTTCAATGCAATTCTCTGCAATGCAATCCTAGAATACAATTCTCTACAATGCAGTTCTAGCTTACAATTCTCTACACCTTAATCAAAGTCAGTTATACAAATTGCACATATTATTTAACAATTGACAAAATTCAGCCTTTTTTGGAATGAATTTCGAATTGTTTGTTTCTCATGCTTCTGCTCAACTATTCTTGTACTAAAATTATGCACAAATCTTCATCAAGTGAATGGATTTTTTATTTTGAAAAAAAAAAAACCAGAAAAATGATCAGTTTTGTAACAAAAAAACTCCTCATAAAAATTTAATTTCAAATCTCATTAAAGAAAAATTGCTTAACATATCTGATATTTCCTTTTTTCCTTCTGCTACTTTTTTCAATAGATGGTGCTAAATATCTGATGCTTTCAGGAAGAGTTAAGATAAATATGAGGCTTTTGAGAGTTTGAATTTGCTCTTGAAAGCTATTCGCAGAAGTTATTTACCTAAGAACATAATGCTAATGAATTCAGTCATCAGCGTTGAATTTTAATTGTAACAAAGAAATTGAATAATAGTTTCTTATTTTTATTTTTTGCAAGGTTACCTTATCCAGAAATTGCAGTAAAGTACAACAAAAATTGAAACACAATAACTGTACTGTACGCTTTTTAACGCATGCTACAGTACTGAAAATTATGCTAAATATCTCAGGGTAAGCTCTATTTTAGCCCAAATGTCTCGAAACACAATTTTGCGTTGTTTCACTTTTTAAGTCTGTTGCCATTTGAGAAAATGTAAGTTGAGTCAAATCCAATCTAACTTCTTCTGTTATTGATTAACAAACGAAGCTAATTAAAATCTATAGATGCATTTTTTAAGAAAATATTTTTTTTCTTAATCTTTTCAGCTGATTGACTAAAATAATGCTTTAATTCATGCTACATCTCATTAAATATATTTATAGCATTACATTATGTATTTTTTCACTTTTGAAATATACAGCAGATATATATAACTTTCCCATGTTAGTTTAAAAAGAGATCTATGGCAACACTGTACGAGAAAGAAATTTATCTCCAGGCGCCCCAGACTGTGTATCAGAAATTCTAAAGATATGCTCATTTTAAAATTACTTTGCGATTTTGCTGTTGAACTGAATTTTATGGTTTAAGTGCAAAGAACATGATGTTTAATAAATAAAAGCAGCACATAAAACGTTAAAAAAAAGGCCCCTTTGGGGGTAATGTAAAATCTGAAAACTTTCAGTTTTCCTTTTCTTTTTTTTTACGGTAACTCACATTTGTTTTCAGATACTAGAAGTTTTCAGTTTGATACAATGGATTATAATCGAAAACCTGTACATTAAATGAAAGCTTATTTATAGCTTACCATACAGAAATAAAAAAGCTTTAGTTCAAAATGAGTATTGGCATAGACAAAAACTCAATGGATTTCGAGGACAAACAGGTCACTCTTCGTCAGAAACAAAGAAATTTGCCAGACTGGAAAGAAGCGGGCGTAACGGTCTATTTATACCCTACTGCAGTATAGCGAACAGGAAAGTAGTGACAGCAGTCGGCAAAATTACCTAATTAACAAACGATCATTTAAAATGTAAGTGAAAGCATCATTTTTTTTGATTCTATGGTCATTTAAATTGTTTGTGAAAGAGATAAATAAAATAACAAGTTAATAAACAAAAATAAGCTCATCTTGAAAACTTTACAACACGGAACATTTTTATTTGTAGCGCATTAGCTTTTCTAATTTATAAACCGTTAAAAGCAGTTGGAGAATAGCAAAATTTTAAGAATATATGTGTTGCTTAAATAAAACATGAAAGTAGCTATGAAATATTTGTCTAATCAATTATTGTAATTCAACTTTGACAACCGGTTTACCATATTAAAAATATTTTAGGATGCCCCTCTGCCTAACCTTTGTCAGCCATTTAATTCCTGCCACTAATTTAAAGCTGTCGCTACTGACATAAAACAACGCTTTTATGACGAGGATGTGTAATACCTGTAATATGATGCAAAATGTATTTTTGCTGCAAGCGCGAATGCTTTCAGCATCTGATTTATGCTTTTAGCAAATATTGTTTTGACACATCGCATTTGAATGTTTAGAATCTACACCGATGGCTCATTGGATTGGATTGGATTATTTAACTATGGCAAAGCACACGAGGGCTATCTGCCTAAAGGGAGAGATGCCTTCGTGGAGGACTTTCTAAGGGAAACTGGCTCGTATACACATTACACATGGGGAAAACCACGAAAACGTCCATGAGGCCGCCCGTCCCCGGGATTGGAACCTCGGACCGAACTGCCAGTGTTCAGCGTCTTTACCACTCGGCCGCTGGTGGGCCACACAGATGGCTGAAGAATTAATGATAATGTGGGATTCTCCTTTGTTGCACTGGAGAAGCAATATTAAACATCAATGGAAAGGACATCTTGACTATGAAATTAGTACATTTCAAGCAGGCCTAAGTTATTAAAACAACTAAATATGAACAATATTTGAAAATCGAATTATTAAAACAACTTAGATATATATAATATTATATAATAATACACAGATTTGTATTGTATATACATAGATATAACAAATATTATATAATATTAGAGAATAAAATTACTCAAACATCTGAATATGAGCAGTATTTGAACAGTAAGCAATATTAGAGTATAAAAAATAATATTTTTCATTATCTAATTGGTATAGTTTTAAGACAAATTAAAATTATTTAAATATTTACTAACTTTCAACAGTAACCATAATTTTTCCCAAATACATAACAAAATTGACACAAATCTTAGTTAAATTATTTTAATTAATAAATCTTTATCAAAACGTTGATAAACTTACATGCCAGGGTTGATTCCCGAAAGTCGTATTTTCTCCACCGACGATTTTCGAATCCCTGATGTAAGTTTTGCCGCAAGCTTTATAAGAACGAAAAAATATGTTAAAATTCATAGTTTACGTAGAATAAATCAAATACGTTACCTAATAACATGAAACTGCAAGCCGATAAATAAAAAGCATAAGAATAACTAATATCTTTACCTATAATACAATACCTTTATTAAAAAGCGCACTTGTAATTAAATATATTGGTGTATTTTATTAAGGCAAAGCACACTAGGGCTATCTGCCTAAGGGGAGGGATGCCTTCGTGGAGGATTTTCTAAGGGAAACTGGCTCGTATACACGTTCCTGGGACCACGAAAACACCCATGCAGCCAGCCCGTTCGCGGGATTCGAACCTCGGAGCGAACTACCAGTGTTCAGCGACTTTACCGCTCGGCCGCTGGTGGGTCACTTGTAATTAAAACATATCAAATTCGTTATACTGTTAAACAATAAGAAATAATACACTAAACAATCATTAATTAATTTACTTAGTGTTGAAGCTACTAAAGCAACAAGAATCAGCATAAGTTGTGAAAATATTTAGACTAGTTTCGAAGATTAAATAGAACCTTCTTCTTCAACTGCAGAAGTAAAAATGGGGCGTATTTATTTTAGTTAATATTTAATTTACTTAGGTTATGTATAGCTACCGAATGAAAGATGAGAAACGGAGATCACAAATACTTTGCGATTGTAATTCTTCTGGCATATTCTATGGCATGAGACACGAAGAATACTTAGTAAGTTTTATCGATGTACCATGAGTGTACTGGGTATTCTTCAGTGGTTTTAGATAGATATCTGTGTTTTCTACGAAAATGGCTTGTGAATGGATTGAAGATTTTTTTTTCAATTAAACTGCTATTTAGCAAACATATCCATATTTATCAGCTATAGCATGGTATACCCAGTTGATTTAATTTCTTTACGTTTATTACGTTGATTTAATTTCTTTCTTTTTATTTCTAAGACGACCACTTGTGGTCCAGACACCACAATTTTAGAAAGGCTGTCCTAAATTAAACGATTCTTTGGTAATTATAGTAATTAATGTAGTTATATGCTATAGAGGCTGATTGAATCTCAAGTAAGAGTCTGTACTCCAAGTCTGTTTATAGCGTCGGTTTGCAATATAAGGTATTTCTCCCGTCTTCCTAGCGTGCCTTCGTGGTGTAGTGGTACTGCACGCTGGGTTGGTATTGCAGAGGTCTATGGTTCGATTCTCGGCGAAGGCGTTGCTAATTTTTCATCCTTCCTGCTTCCAAAAAAAAATACCTAATGTCTCTACAGTGACGCCCGAACTAAAAAGCGTGTTGGATGATGATTCTCCTCATTGGCTCCTCATGGCGATTGGGTACCCTAAAAACCCCAGTCGCCCTTTAAAAGGGGGAGTATATAAGGTATTTTTCCCGCCTTCCTAGCGTGCCTTCGTGGTGCAGTGGTTCAGCAGGTTGGGTCGGTATTCCAGAGGTCCGCGTTCGATTCCCGGCGAAGCGTTGCTAATTTTTCATCTTTCTTGCTTCCAATGCTTCCAAAAAAATACCTAATGTCTCTATAGCAGTATAAAAACTTTAATCCATTTTTGCCCTACTAGAGCCTGGTGTTAGGGAAATCTGTAGACAAACACTGGAATTCCATTACCATTTATTTTAGGTATTGTAATGCACTGTAATCTTGCTTGTTATCGATACTGTAACTGTACTGTGATATTCTGTAAATATCGTTAGACTAGATTGTTGGAGTCAGCACACTAAGCCTTGGTGCCTGGACTGGAAGCATGATTGACCGAAACTGCCTGACTGAAATACTGTATTGTATATACCACAATCAATTCATTGGATGTACATAAAAACTTAGGTGTGGGTCCGTTATTCGTTCCGGTGGAGTGGGTCATTTTGATCAAAATGTAAATATAGCTGAATTGATGACATACTGTACCCCCGCTGTTAGAATTTATGACCAGAGACAGATATTCATCGAAAATTATTTATGGATATCCTATAAGTTCAAAGACTCTTGATAAACAATGAGAATAAAAATATAACAGCTTCCTTCTTTTAACAATAAAATTAGCCCTGTGATACAGCATTCATAAATATTTAAAAATCGAATACCAAGTGATATGAGTTTCATTCAGAAAACCGAAATGAAGTTCAAATCCATCTTTATTCTTTCCCTCAACAGAGAGCAGTAACTCTGCAGTCTGGTGCTTACACATATTAAGATATAACCGAAATGCTACAATTCAGGCCATCCTTACATTGTTTTGCAGGTCTAGGCGTTGAAGACGCGTTAAAATGCCGCTGTCACATCTAGGAAATAGTTTGATAATTCTGCCATTGTTTTTCGGACCTCATGATGGCCCTGTTGATGCTGTTGTTGAAATAACAATGCTTGATCCAGTAAAGTTGAATGGATTTGCGGATCCTTATCTGTTGCAGTTGAATTTACTTTATTCAAGCACGTGGTAGTGTGTGGTTACTAGGTGACTTTTGTTACGGTTCATCAGATAGCTGTCCTTCTCTTAAAACCCATTTCATCTTACTTCTGCTAATTAAAATGCTTTAAAAAAATACTACAGTAAAGTTCCATGTATTAAGACTAACAAGCACCTACCTTATTTCGAAATTTATATATTTAACATTATTATATTATATAACATTATTATATTATATAATTTATATATCCGTTTAGATATTCGAAAAAGCCAAAGAACAGTTGTCTTTCTCCACCTCTTGTACATGAAATGTATACAATGAAAGTGAAATAATTTTATTAATTCATTTTATTTCAATAAAAGACTATGAGAAAAATTGAAAGACTGGAAAGAAATATTCAATAAAAGTCTAAATATAAAAATACTTTTTTATGGGCAAAATTTGCGTGAACATAGTAATTAAATCCAAACTAAAACAATTCAATTTTGATTTAGGTAGACCTAATATGCAATGCATGATTTTATTTTCATTTTCACTCAATTAAAAGCACACAGGGACAGCGAAAAGTGGACGAAGGACCAGACCTTCGTTTAAGGATTTATAGGTAACTAAAAGTAGACAATATATGAAGATATATTTCTTATTTGATTAAAGCAAAACACAGTCCATTTCGAGTCAGATAAATTAACACAGACCCATTTTATTTTTTAATTGGCACTAATGATAAAATAGAAAAAGCAAAATGTTATTACAAAGAAAAATAATTTCGTGTTCCTTTTCATTCTTTAAAAGAATATTCATGTTACCAGAACAACCAGAACCTTCAATTACCAGAACAACTGAAACGACATGTCATGCGTATTTTCTAAATATTCAAATGATTGAATTGATCGTGCTTGTGGGCCAACTATGTATTTAAGAGTAATGAAAATGAAAGTATTATAATTTTTTGTTTATGGTAGCCTTTTGAATAAAATTGACATAATTAAGAAAATAACGTCAAAACGCGTGTTTAGACTTCTTTTTAGAAAAGTACCACTATTTATGCTTTAATGACTGACGGAGTTAAAAAAGAGCAGTAGCCCTAAATATAAACAATATATTTTCCATTGATAATTATATGTTACACATGCCAGTGTACGATTCGCTTTATCATTAATATGTGTAAGCTACATATCTGTCGAAAATCGATATAAATCGATATAGGGAACTATATATAGGATATTTTAGGAAACTTTTTCATATATTTTAAATAAGTAAAAATTTGAAACATGTAAATAAATTAAGAAGGAAGCTCAATTCTATTCAGGCAAGGAATAACTGCAAGTGATCCGGATTACTGAATATCCAGCTTGCCTGGAGTCTGGATCATTGGAATTCTAATATGCATAAGCTACACATTATGTGTACAGGTATAAACTGCAGTAAAAGACACAAAAGATATAAATTTGAAAATCTCTCACTGGCAGATTTGACGATCGCCACTTTGTTTGGCTCGGCGTTCTTTGGCACACAGCATGACCAGACGACACCCCCGCTGCAGAGATCGAGGGATCTCTTGCCTTGGAACCAGCAACCGATGCTCAGGCCACAGGAATAACTGTTGCCTTGATAGTAGCAGGTCCTCGGAGCAGCTACGAATGACAAAAAGCAGTAACTAAATAAGTACAACTTTTCTTCGAAGCAAGGAAAACCGTCGAACTTCTGATCAAATAATTAAAAAAATAAATCTAATTATGTTCCAAAATATGATTTTACATTAACAAATTTGTCCAGCAAATTTTATACCAAAATCTAATTGAAGCTCGCGTCAGAAGAGTTTTCAAAGTGCATTTGGGCTCTTAAAGGGCTGCTACCAGAAGCTTCAAATGCAGCTTTTCTGCGTAATTGCTTTAATGTATTCGTATTATTGTAAATCATATTACAATTAATGATATGTTTTGAAAATATTTTCATATTTCTTGTTCATCATATTAGAACATTATTTTAATTTTCGTATTAGTAAATCATGGGAACTTTTTAAAACTAAAATATTAAATATTTATGAAATCCATAAAAAACACTATTAGAATAAAATAAAAAAATAAAGAACTATTTCCCATTTTAAAAATCTGTTTTTTTAAAAATAAATTACCTTTAAATTATAACTAGGAGTTATCACTATTAAATAGCGAGTTATATTAGTGTTAAATTTATGAATTATAAAATATTTTTGATTAATTAAATTAACACTTTTGGCAACTAAAAGTAATTTTTAATATACTTACTTTTTGTTGCTGAGTAAAAATTTGAAATATAAAGAAAATTCACAAGGAATGTAAATAAGTAAATAATGTATTTCCCGCTCTCAGACTAAAAAGAACTTGAATCAATATTTTGCGAATCATATTCTGTTATTCACAGGGATGTAAAAACGCGTTCTAAACTTTCTTGCTTAGGATAGATCTCTTCCTTAATTTATTTGGCATTGTTTTCTTTTTTTATTACACACACTACAAGTGAAACTAAGAAAACAATATGAAATCCATTTGTACTTGATTTAAATCTGCCAAGAATGAATCAGTTTGAAACGCTTGATCGTTCCTTGTTAGTATATGAATAAAATTAATATAAACTGATTATTTTTCAGAATTAATATATGAAATAATTTTTTTCATTTCGTACTTGAATGAAAATGATTTATTGTGAATAAAATATTTTCGGGCACATAAGATTTTATTTAACTTTCTTGATGTATAAAGCATAAAATTTTAAAATAATAACTCGGCATTTACTTAATCATATACGAAGGATTAGATGCATAACATAGAATATGAATAAACTCGTAAGTAAAAATTATGTGTCCAATGGAAACATGCTGGAAAAAACTACAGAAGATGTTAACCCAGGCAAGGAAACTATTTTTACTTCCTCGTACGAAGTAAAAAGGAAGTATTATAATCGCGAAAAGTTTCGGGCAGCATATTTCAACGAAAATATCCATTTTGACCGCTTTCGAATGCAATTTAACGCTGTATTTGCGTGATATCTGTACGTAAGGACAGAATAAAAGATTCTTTTCCTCCAAAAAATTTATAAAACTGCTTTAAAATGAATTCTGAAGAGAATGTTTCGTGGTGTCTGTTCGAACGTACAGGGGTTGGACAAAAATATGGAAACACCTTTAAAAAAAACATGTTTCTTTGCTTATATGGTGTAGGAAACCCGTTGGCATCCAAACAGCTTGCAGTCTTCTCGAAATGGATAAATACAGTTCCTGTATGTTTGCCAAGGGAATATTATACCATTCTTCCTGCAAAACGGTGGCAAGTTCAGATAACGATGTTGGCGGTGGATAACGAGAACGCACTTTTCGTTCCAATGTAGACCACAAAGGTTCGATAATATTCAGGTCTGGTGACTGTGGTGGCCAGGGGAGATGGGACAAACTCATCCTCGTGCTCAGAAAACCAGTCTGGACAATGTGAGCTGTGGTGAACAGGGGCTTGTCGTCTTGGAAGACACCATCACCGGGGAACAAAGTTTGTACCATGGGATGAAGTTGATCGGCCAAAATGTTCACATAAGTCTTGGCAGTCAGTGCCCTGACACAGTTATCATGGATAGCAGAGAACCACGATTGGCTCCCAAACCATACAGAACCCCCGCCATGTTTCCTCTTGGCACAAGCAGTCTGTATTATAGGCTTGAGATGGCGTCCTCCAGACGTAAACGGCAGAAGTGGGAAACGTGGAAAAAGACTCGTCAGACCATATTACTCGTCCACTGCTCTATAGTCCAGCCTTTATGACTAACACCACCTTTTTCTGTTACGGGCATTAGCATCATGATGAGTGGCTTTCAATTGCAGCACGGCCAGCAATTCCTGTTTATGAAGCTCCCTTCTAATGTTTTGGTACTACAGGTTCGGTAACACACATTCATCTCAGCAGTAATTTTGAGCTGTGGTCTTTATTTTTCGTCCAATTGCCCTAATGATCGCTGTCACGTCATCAGGACACACTTCGTCCGCGCTGTGATTAGCAGATGATTTTTCCGCTTTTCAAATGCGGAATAAACTTCGATACAGTATCTCTGAAACACTAAACACCTCGGTACTTGCTTACGGAAGCACCTACCATACGTGCTCCAACAATTGCCCACGTTCGAAGTCTGTTAACTCTGACATAATGCAATGACAACCTCATACAGTCTCCGACAACAACTGAACTGTTTAGCATTACGAAGTTGTATAGGTGGCGTCAGTAGTCAAAACGCCAGCGCCACCTACATATTTCATTAAAATCAATCTTTCTTTTCAAACATGCATTTGAACAAGGTGTTCCATATTTTTTGTCCACCACGGTAATGTACGTACGTCTCGCTTAACTCAAAAACGAGTAGCCTCAGAACGTTGAAATTGTATATAGACTACTATAACATGTAGATGTGCGAAATAGGCCACGGCAACGTATACACATATTTATATATATATCACTCTGTTACCCGCTCAGTGATCTCAGATTTTACTCTATATGTATGTAAATTGTACATTTTTTGATTAAAAATGATTGAATTATGTTATTTCCGGTTAAGGTTTTTATGCCTTAGTAAATTGTATGCCATAATTTTAGATTATCAACAATTTAAAGTTTTATGCCGTTAAGCCTTTTTTTATGGCGGCCATGCTTGTTTACATTTGAAAGCAGAGTAATGGATTTGTTGCCATCTAGAAACAATAGCTTCGCAAAACAAGATAACGCCTTTCATTATTATTGCGAATTAAGTCATGCTATCCTTTCTGGAATTTTTTCGAGGAAATAAGCGTTTAAGATTTACTTCGTAATTTTTAATAGAGTTATTTTGGGTTTTTATGTATTTTTGCCTTGTCGCGAAGTGAGAACTGAATTAATTGAATGAGAAATACACAATCGTCTGTGAAAAACTGTTTCTGTTTTGTTTTGTTGGCTTAATTTCTTTTATACATTGTTCTAGCTTTATTATAGTATTTGAATAGAACATTAGTTAGCAACATTAGAACATAGCAACGATTAGTTAATTCTTTAAATGATATAAATTTTGTGCATTACGAAATGGAAGAAAAAATGCGTATAATTTAATATTCCGTACAAGGAAGTCATGTGGTGTACACAGCAGATTTAAAAAAAAAAAAAAAAAAAAATCAGACACAGAAAAATTCAGAAACTATTAAATACTTTGTGGTTTGATAAACATACGCAGCAACTTAAAAATTTAATTATATAAAAAGCATACAGCATACCAAAATATACAGCATTAATGCAAAAAGTTAATTCCATTAGAATCAAAAATTGTATTTACCGAGCAGCTGCTGGGCAAAATTGAGTAGATTGAGAGCGATGTTTGTATCGAAAGGTAAAGTTGGGGCCCTCCATTCCGAGGGCCCCTCCATCCTGGGTGGTATCCGAACGTCCGCAAAATTTAGGCTGGATACCACAGGATAAAGCAGGTAGAGGAGCAACCTGAAATGGAATGAGAAATCATTATGATGGATCATTAGTAATATTCGTAATCACATGAATAGCAAATCTCTAAAATAGGTCGCTTGTTAAACGATATACGGTTTGCTTAATTTTGAGTAATGGTAAAATTCGTCTTTTATTTGTTGTGAATTTCAATAATAATAAATAATAATAAATAAGAATCGTTGAAGATTGTTCTATGTTAAACAAAAGCAGTAATAGATTTTGCAAAGATATTAGCTATTCAGTTAAGTTCAGTATCGTACTGTACATACGTGAAAGAACACAGAAAACCTACTCAAGAGAAGTTTGTATGAAATAACTAAATTTAATAACATACACTCATATCCATAAATTAAGGATAATGCAAAACCAGGCAAATGAAGAGTTAGAAGCAAAACAAATTTGACTTTTTGTAAAGCTTATTTATTAAACAAAAGGTAAAGAGAAAAACAAGATGCTATATGTTTGATATTATTAAAAAAATTAGCGATTTTTTCTCCCTGGAGCTAATAACAAAAAAAAAAAAAAAAAAAAAAAAAACCTATTTACAAAAAAGCAATATTACATGGTTGGTATGATTGTTAATACATTGTATGTCTCCCAGACGATGCAATACAATCCGTACAACGCCTAGGCATGCTGAGTATCAAATTATCGATCTGATCTTGGGGGATATTACAACACTCAAAAAGCAATGCTCTCGAAATTCCGGTAGACATGTAGGAGGGGGTTGACGGGCTGCAACTCGTCGGCCAAGCATGTCCCACACGTGTTCTACTGGATTCAAGTCCGGTGAGAATGCTGGCCAGTCCATACGGGTGATATCCTCTGTTTGAAGGCATTCGCTTACGATGTTTGCACGGTGAGGACGGGCGTTGTCATCCATAAACACAATTGTGCGTCCATGGCGCTCCGAAACAAACGTACATGTTGTTCCAGAATGACGTCCCGATAGATTTGGCTTGTCATGGTTCCAATTTGAACATGCTGGTCAGTTCTGGAACCCATAATAATTCCACCCCAAACGAGTACTCTTGCACCACCGTAACGGTGTCGTTCAATGATGTTTTCTTGGTGGTAACGGGTACTTGGAGCTCTCCATACGAAAGTCCGGCGAGAATCAGAATGCAAGCTATACCTGGACTCGTCGGAAAACATCACACAAGCCCACTGTTGCGGTGTCCACAATGCGCGTTCTCTACTCCAGGCTAACCGCAGGCGACAGTGAGTTGCAGTTAGTGGAAAGCATCTGACAGGTCTACGAGCATATAGACCAATCTGCCCTAAGCGTCTGTACACGGTCTGCCTTGAAGTGTCGTACCAGTGGCTGAAGAGATAGGTCTGAGGCTGTGCTCCGCCTGTTTCTTTCGGCAGTAACTGCCAAATACCGGTCCTCATTCGGCGTTGTAACTCTGGGGCGACCTGTGTTGTAACGTCTACTCACATTACCATCATCTTGGAATCGTTGCCAAAGTCTGGAGATGACACTCTGGGCAATTCGAAGTTCGTCTGATACTTCCAGTTGGGTACGCCACATTCCAGACGGCCGATAATTCTACCACGTAAAAAATCATCCAAATGCGTCCTTTGTATCATAACTATTCGGTTATTGCACTGAAATGCTTATAAAGCGCCTGTGAACAATTTTACTTCTTTGCCTGTATTCCTTATATATCACTCTCTTACACTCTCGTCATTGTGACGTACCATCGGTGTCATCTGGTTACTTCATGAAATTTGCATACGATTCTTGAAGATGTGTGTAGTGATTTTACAGGTGATATATTTATTTTAGGGTTCCAATGCCGCGTGACTCCGAATTATCCTTAATTTATGGACACGAGTGTACAAACATGTGAGAAAACTATGCAAAAAACTGCTCTGAAGAATGCGTTGTATATAAGTTAAAAAGAAAATAGAATAGATTAAATTTAAAAATTAAAACAGCTAAAAGACAGATAAACGGTACAACTGTGGGCCGGAAAAGGTTATTATTTGAAGGTATGATATACTAATTAAAAATAGTGCCGTCTGAAAATTTTACAGTACAAGCGTTTACTATTAAATGTTTTTTAGTTTAAAATATATGAAACGTATAAATGAAAAAATCATACAGATATTTCGCTTTTGTTCTGTCTGTTTATCTTTGCCAACTCTTAATACTACATCTTTATAAAGTTAAAACTTAAGTCAAATAGAACTCCAGTTTTATACGTTTTTGTATTTGTTTCTACATTTTGCTTTGGAATGCAAAATGGTATAAAAGGAAGCCATTGTAGTATTAAAAATGATATCTTTTGAACAAAAGTAAGAAACAAGAATATGTAAAGTACTAAAATCTATATGCTATTAAAAACTTTAATATTCGATTTTATTTCGGATAAAAACCACAGTGTAAAGAATAAACAGAGTTATAAACTTTACAAGCGATGCATAACAGGGTACTCAACATATATTTTATTTTTGATATTTATGGTTTAGTACAAAACTTTGCAATCCGTTGTTAAAGAGTCTAGCTACAAGAACGTTTAAAATAATTCTGTGTTCTATGCTGAGAAAGGCACCTTTATAATAGTCAACATAAATAAAAGATTTTATGCACTGTCGATTGGCAACAAGGTACATTCGCGTTAGGTTTCTATAATAAGGTTTATGCACCGTTATTTTGCATCTTATCATATGGTGCACTGGAAGTAAATGCTTTCAATTACTACACAAAACTTAAGGATATCTCGAAGATAATCAAAGCTATATTGTTTATAAACCATGACAAGAGGAGAAAAGCTTTTTCCTTTAGAGCAAACAACAACTAAAGGTAAAATATAATACGATAATATGCTATGAAAAACTTCTCTGCTGTTGTTTTCGCTACGGTGTAATAGAAGTATCCTTCAGTAATGCAAACCAATACGCAATTTAGCCATTAATGCTTAGGAACAGATAATAATTATCGTAACTATTTTCACTATGCTTTTGATTTCGCCCAACAGAAAACTACCAATAAAGGTAAAAATAATTTTTAACGGATTCATTTAATATAAAGGTCGCAAAGTTTATGTTAAGAAATAATCATAAAATAATTTTTGCTGAAACAGTATTAGAATTTGGAAAGACGATAGATGAAATTTTTTTTCCTAAGAGATATTTTGAGGTTTTCTCCCTCCTTACTGCGTGTCTTCATAGCGTAATTCGGAAGCACGTCCGGCTAACATCGGAAGGTCCCCTATTGTCTCTACAATATAATAATGGCATTTTTTTAGAATGACAGTGTATGAATAGTGATATAGAAATTTTAGTACGAGTATAAGACACGAAGACTATCTGTCTGAAGGATGCCTTCGTGGAAGATTTTCTAAGGAAAAATGGTTCGTATGCACATTAGATACGGAAATGACCAAGAAACCCATGCGTTCACTAGGATTCCAACTCAGGTCGAGGTATTAAATGCTCAGTGTCTTATACACTTGGTCATTAATAGGACAGTTAATTAGTAAGGATACGAACATGGCAGCTGCATTTAAAGAAGCTAATATTCTTTATTTATATTTCAATACAACTTTATTTAAAATATGTTATTTCCGTTTTGCATCCAAAAAATCTGAGCAGTAATTCTTAACTTTGGATTCATTAGAGATTATGAGAGATCTAATTAAAAAAATTAAATCAAGCTTTACTGTAAAAACATTAAACTCTTTCAGTTCAAACAAGTTAAATTAATTCATTTAGATTCACCTTTCAAGTCGCTGAAAATTGTTTAAAGAAAGCAAAATTTGTTTTAAGAGAATGAGCCTAAATTTAGTAAAATGTTTCTCTAGGTAAGATTAACTTCGAAAATCCTTTGTAAATTAAATATTAATAAAAAGTTCTTATACATTTCATACTTGAATAATTTCGAAAATACTGCAAAAGATTATAAGTTTGGTTTGTTTGATTATGGCAAAGCACTCGAGGGCCATCTGCCTAAGGGAAGGGATGCCTTCATGGTGGACGGTAAAGTGGCCATGCAGCCAGCCCATCCGCCAGAGTTCGAACCCTGTACCGAATTACAGACAAAGGTTAAGGATTTTTAAGATTATAACATACGGTAAATGTGTTCTAGGAGCAAATCACATACATTGTATTTAAATATCCTCTGCATATATCACTAAATTGCATAAGAATATCTTCTGGAAAAAATGCATCTAAACTTTTGTAAAATAAACGTAATCAATAGAAAAAGCTTCTCTACTCAGAAGAAACGGATAAATATTCCTAAATTATACACACATAATCAAACAAAAAGACATTAACTATAGTTAAGTAATTTTTAATCAAGAAGCTGATAATTAAAGAGTTCCGGAGAATTAAAGGTGTCAAAAAGGAGTTTAAAAAAATTGAAAGCTTTCAAATTTTAACGGTCCTCCAAAAGGATTTGTTAAGTTTTTTACGCTCGCTGAGCTCACAGTTTACCAGTCTGCTTTTACAATCACTCCCGCTAACGCTTTTTTCAGCTCTTTTATTAAGCATCGTTTCCTTCGCAGTTACGACATATGCAATTCAACAGCAAAATCGCAAATTTTTAAAAGCAGCATGGCAGTATATATGTTTAGAATCCACGACGCAAAGCTGACATACATTTTTTCAATTTTTCACTTTTTTTTATTAGTTTATTATATCAATGTTCAGTTTTCTTAGTAAGATGGCTAACAAAACTTTTTTTTGTCTTTTATTATTAAAGTTTTTTGTGTTAAATTTATTAATTAAATATCACGTTCTTCGCGCTTACAGCACATAAAATTCAATGCACAAAATATGAATTAATAAAAAAAATATATCACACTATTCAATGAAATATTGAATATTTTTATTTAGACAGATCATGAATTAAATGTATTTTTATTATTTAAATCAATCCAATCCAAAAGTAAAAAAAGAATATTCTTAAGAGCTGCATCTATTGCTTTCAGATAGCTTAGTTTTTTACATCTACAACAGACAGGTTCAGTGAGATACATTTC